TTGCCTCCCCTTGGACGATTTCCAACAACCTTCCCTTCGCGCTGATGCAGACCATCCACGGCGGTTTCAGGATTCCCGTCGTCCAGAGCAACCGGTCTTCGGACCCCAGCCGCATGACCGAAGCAGCTCTCAGGGACCTGCAGGAGCGCATGGCTGAGGTCGATTTCATCCTCGTCGACGAGTTCTCCATGGTGGGTCAGGACATTCTCGGCCTCATGAGCGCGAGGGGAAAACAGGCCGTGGAGGGGCGGAGGGGAGATGGAATAGAGGACTTCCGCCAAGACGTATTCGGAGGCCTGAGCATCATCCTCGTCGGCGACCCAGCGCAGCTTCCTCCGGTCGGGGCTAGACCGTTGTGGAAACACAATCCTTCCACGGGCGGCCTCAGCATGCAAGGACTGCAAGCGTGGCTGTCGATGAACAACGCCGTCGAGCTCACGCAGGTCATGCGCCAGCAAGGTCCGGAGCAGGCCGCCTTCCGCGACACACTACTGCGTATCGCCGAGGGCATGCAGACCGCAGACGACTGGGACGTACTCAAGCGAAGGTTCATCGCCGCGGTGGGGGCTGCAGAACGCGAAACCTTCGACGACGCTGTTCACATCTTCCCCACGAACGCCCTCGCCGACGACTGGAACTGGCGGCGGTTGAACTCTCTAGGAACCCCCATCGCGAGAATCAACGCCACTCACACCATCCACGGCTACAACGCGGTGTCCTCCGAAAGGTTCAGGGGATTGCAATCGCACATCTTCCTCGCCATCGGCGCGCGTGTGTTCGTCCACAACATCGTTTGGGTCTCTGCCGGCCTTGCCAACGGAGCCGTCGGGGAAGTGGTGCACATGCAGTGGGCAGAGGGCCAAACGCCGCCACAACTGCCGGAGGTCGTGTGGGTTCGCGTGGAGAACTACCGGGGTCCTCAATACTTCGAGCAACCACTCCGGAGGGACTGGGCCGACGGCGAAATTGACCTCACGAACCTCTGCCCCATCGCCCCCATGGACGTCATGGATGATCAACCACCCACGGGTCGCCGGAGAGGTGACGGCACCTCCATCGCCCGCTGCTTCAGGATGCAGTTGCCCTTGATGCTCGCCTTCGGTATCACCATCTACAAGAGTCATGGCAACACCTTGCTACGCTGCTCCTTGGACATCGGAGCAAGCGAAAGGAGCGACGGACAATCCTTCACTGCCTTCAGCCGGTGCCGTACGCTGGAGAACATGCTCCTCGAGCCCTTCTCCCTTGAGCGCTTCCTCAAAATAGGCGACAGCCGTTCCTTCCAGTCACGACTCAACGCCATCGACCACGTGCGGACAGTCGAGGACCGTACACGTCGTCAGCATGGCTTGCCGCCCATCGTCAGAACCGCTCGGCCCCCGAGGACACGACGGAGGGCGGGCCGCGGAGGAGGGGGGCGAGGAGATGGGGGGAGGCAGGGGGGAGTGCAAGGCGGCCGTGGTGGACGGGGTCGCGGGGGGCAGGGCCGAGGCCGGCGTGGGACGGAGAGGCCAGACCTTTCTATCCCTCCAGCCGTCGTTTCGTGGGAGGTATACGCGGTTCGCCAAATGCAGAACTCCCACACAGACTCCTGGGTGTACGTACCCTTCCTCCTCGACGCTTTTGGCGTAGATCGATATGTGCTCTTCGATTAGCCAGCCTGGTAGGATTCCGCCGTGGCAGCCTGTGCTGTCGCCCTCCAGGACGCCGGCCAACAC